ATTTGGCTCCTGATAGAGCATGTAATTGGCACGTTCCGATAAATAATAACGACAACAGCGGGATTGGAAAATTCAGTGCCCACGTGTGCGATTTGTGGGTGTGTACATGTGGTTGCACGAATCTCGCGCCAGTGCACTTGTCCGTATAGATAAAAAAGCGTCGTAGATGCAATCGCGATATCAATGGCGGTAAGTTTCGCGTGCGGTGCAGCGGCAGCGCGCGCGGTGGCGCGGCGGAGAGAACCGAGATTAACTGCTATAAATATCATCGTCGGCTATCGGATCTCTCTCTCTCTCTCTCTCTCTCTCTCTCTCTCTCTCTCGGCCGCTCACCGATCTAACTCTTGGCCCCGACTGTACTCTTAAAACATTGGAAATAGTTATGGCAGTGGTGCTCACTCTCTACTGATGATCGCCGATGCCATTATTGATTCAATTATGTAACGCGAACGCAATTGATAGCGCGTTCGTGGACGATCCTCGTTGATTTGCGCAATAATAAGCAACTTGGCGACACAGTTTTGCATATCGGAACGATACTCTTCATTTGTTTTCAAGAGATTTTATTCGCGCGCACGCGCGACTAACATGACCCAATATCGGATTCACTTAGTCGGCAATTAAAGGACTTTGTTATTCGAAGCGAGCCTTTCGGAATCATCTTCCTTCGTGAAATCGATACGTCGCTGGAACCGCTGCGCTCTCGCGTGTCGTTACAATATAAAACGATAAATCGCAGGGAGAATTCCTATCGACTTGGCTAAAAATGTGATGTGGTGGGGCATTTTTAGCGTGAATATTCTAGCATCGATCTTTGCGCGGCTGTCTCTTTTACATCCAAATCCGATTCGATTTGAAATTTCGCCCGGATAAATAAAGCAAAGGGAGTAATGGACAAGTCTCCGCTGCAAAGCAGCAGACGCCCGTACAGTCCGTGCTACAAAGCGCCGGAGTGGATCTCTCATCGTGTGTTTTTCCCTTCCTTCGTTCGTTCGAGTAGTATCTGATAGTATCGAGTATATACTTATATATTCTCAATTATGACGGGCCTATCGGTCTCGCAGTCGCGAAAGTTCACACCGATACCGCGTCTGTTATGTCAGTACATTCTCCCCGCGATATTCGACATCTGTAGCCATCCGATCCGTGCCGGATGTGAAGGAAAAAAGAAGAAATGAGAGAAACGGCATTCGTCATTTCGCGAGCCCGCCCGAAACGCGATTGATCAACGATTGATTCCGTTATTAGAATATTCGTGCTATCGGCTCACTCGTCGATTTCGAGGCTCACTCGTCAATGATTGCGGAGTGATTCCGGTAAGATTTTCCCCTTCTTATGTAAGAGAAAAAAAAAACAAATTTTTTTTTAGTTCAGAGTATAAAAACCGATTTTTTGATCAAAATCTTAGAAAAAAATATAGAATTTAAATTTTTCTGGATATTCTACATTTTTAAATATCGAGACGGAAACGTCTTTGATAATAACGTCTTTTCGAAACTTGACTAACAATAAGTATATCCGTGGCTATACTTATTTATTGTGCCTCTTAGTTATTGTGCTACATTTTGATTGCTCACAGCTAATTTTATACAAAAATCTTTTAATTGTATGCAAAAATTGAATTTTAAAATAATATGCCGTCCAATATAAAAAAAGACATATTTGAATGAACAGTTTTTGTGATTGGAATAAAAAACTATTTTTTTTACTGATTTTTTTAATTCAAAAAGTTTTCAGTTCTTTTCGGTAATTTTTATCTCTATGTAAAAATTCTCGCGTATTTGAATCACTGTGTTATTAATCACCAACGCGTTGATAGTTGAATTTTAACAAAAAGAAAAAAATGTGATGAGGCAAAGGACTCGAATCGCGATTCGCCGCTATGTTGAAGTAGAGGAAATTATGCGACGGACTGTACGCGCCGCGGTTCGTTTGCTCTTTCGTTTGCGGAATTTTTTT